CACATGGTGGCTCATAACCATCTAATATTCAATCTGGTGCCCTCTTCTGGCATGTAGGCAGAATAGTATATGTAATAAATAAATCTTAAAAAAAAGATTTATTTTTCATAATACGTATGAGTGTTTTGCCTGTATATATGTATGTGTACCGTGCATGTGCCTGGTGCCCACAGAGGTCAGAAGAGACCCGGAGCTGAGTTTAGCATGATCATGAACCACCATATGGGTCCTGGGAATAGAACCTGGGTCCTCTGAAAGAATACAAGAAAGGGCTGTCCAGCATAACAAGTCTATTTATAATCAAAACATGCAGGAGAATCGGAGTTTAAGGTTGTCCTCAGTTATAAACTTTTTATGGTAGCCTGTGCTGCATGACAGTCCACCTCAGAAAACTGAGAGGGTAGAGATCTGTCAGCTGGTAAATGTGCTTTTGGCCAAGTCTGACAGCCTGAGTTCAAGCCCCTGGACTGGTAGGAGAGACTTGGCTTCCACAGGGTGTCTTCCGAGTGGGCTCATACACCTCCACACAAGCAATAAATAAATGTGGATTTTACAAGTTTTTGTGGAGAAAAGAATAAGCCTATCTGCTGCTTTGAAAACAGGTGGGGTGAGGGTAATTTCCAAAGGACTGGCCCCTCAGTACCACCTAGTGGACAGCAAAACACAACACAGGCTCTGGTCCCCAATGACCAGTCCTAAAATAGCTCACTTCAAAATTCCTAGACCCTTTGCTACCTACACATAAGGGGGAGACCATAAGGAAGGAAAAGTGTCAAGTAGCAACAGTTTTGGGAACAAAAACGAAAGCCAGAAGCTTTCACTTTATTTCTAAGACTCTGTCATAAACTTTTATCAGGTACCAATAAGCTACCTTTGGGAAACTGAGTAAGTAGGACCAGAGAAAGTAATACTTTATTCCCTCATCGTTGGTTATAGCATGGCTTTAAAACTTCACACACACACACACACACACACACACACACACACACACACACACACACACACACACGGCGGAGGCATATTATGGACTGGATTATACTTTTACTGTGATGGTATTTGGAAACAAGACCTTAAGGCAATAATTAGATTTAAAAGAGGCGGTGAGATAGGGTACCCTTGATAGGATTTATCAAAGGGGATTCTCTCTAGGAGGATAAACCCAGGGAAAGCCACATGATAGTACATAAGAGGGCAGCTACATGCAAGGCAAGAGGAGAAAGCTCTCGAACTGAAATACTGGTTGTAGCTTTCTCAACTAACTGGTTTTGTAGGGGAAGTGAAGTTTCTCCTTTGTACTGTTCTCACTTGTTAACTTGATGCATTCGGGAAGAGGGAACCTCAGCTGAGGAATTGCCTGCTTCAGAGAAGCCTATGAGCATGCCTGTAGGGCATTTTCCAGAGGATAAGTGGAGAAGGTCCTAGGTCAACTGTTCTGTTTCTTTTTTTTTTTAAGATTTATTTATTTATTACATATACAGTGTTCTGCCTACATGCCAGAAGAGGACAACAGATGGAATTGTAGATGGTTGTGAGCCAGCATGTGGTTGCTGGGAATTGAACTCAGGACCCCTGGAAGAGCAGTCACTGCTCTTAACCTCTGAGCCATCTCTCCAGCCCCCAGCTGTTCTGAACCTGTGGGTCGAGACCCTTTAAGAGGGATGTGGGGGGTGGGGGAGGTCAAATAACCCTTTCACAGGTTACTTAACACAGTGGGAAAACACAGATATTTATATTATGATTCCTAACAGTAGCAAAATTGCAGTTATGAAGTAGCAACGAGAATAATTTTATGGTTGGGGGTCACCACAACATGAGAAACTGCTTCAGAAGAAACTTGTTGGAGGAGGTGTGTCACCGGGGTTGGGCTCTTATGAATCCCTGTTAGGTCTCTTCTGTGTCACACCTGCCTGCCTGTCTGCCACCATGCTCCCTGCCATGATGGTCCTGGACTCTAACCTTTTTTTTTTTCTTTTTTGTTTTGGTTTTTACGAGACAGGGTTTCTCTGTATTGTTTTGGAGGCTGTCGGTCCAGCCTGACCTCGAACTCAGAGATCCACCTGCCTCTGCCTCCCGAGTGCTGGGATTAAAGGCATGCGCCACCACCGCCCGGCCCTCTAAGTCCAAGTTAACTCTTCTGCAAGTTAGCGGAGTCATGTAGGCTCATGACAGAAATTGAAAGGCAAAATAACTGAAACATACAGCAATTAATTTATGCTTGCTACCTTTAATTTTCTTTTTTATTTTTTGGTTTTTTGAGACAGGGTTTCTCTGTATTGTTTTGAAGCCTGTCCTGGAACTCACTCTGGAGACCAGGCTGGCCTTGAACTCACAGAGATACACCTGTCTCTGCTTTCCAAATGCTAGGATTAAAGTACCTTTAATTTTCTTTTTCTTCCCTCGGAGACAGGGTCTTAAGATATAGCCCCAACTGGCTTAGGTAGAGTGGGCTGGCCTGAAACTCAAACATCTGTCTGCCTCTGAGTCGGTGTGCAACACCACCCCTGGCTTCTATCTGGCTTTAATAGAGGGTTTTTTTTTTTAATCAGGACTGGATAAATGACTCACAGTTAAGAGCATACTGCTCTTGTGAGGTCTTAGATTCAGTTATCAGTACCCACAGGCAGCTCATAACCACCGTAACACCAACTCCTAGAAATCCTGCATCCCCTTCTGGAACCCACAGGGACAGGTAGTCAGGTGACATTTACTTATACAGATACACAAGTATAAAAACAAATCCTTAAAAAGATTCATTTTGAGGCAGCTGAAGATGTCCTTTATTTTTCAATCTTACAGGGGGTGTCGGAGTTCCTATTACTGAGATGAAACACCATGGTCAAAGCAAGCTGGGAGGAAAGGGTTTGTTTGTCTTACACTTCTGCATCACTGTTCATTACTGAAGAAAGTCAGGACAGGAACTCGAGCAGAGTAGGAACCTGGAGGCAGGAGCTGATGCAGAGCCAGGAGGGGCGCTGCTTACGGCCTTAACCCTAACTGCTCTGGCTCTGCTATCCACCCATTAAAGGCACACACCTTTAATGCCAGCACTTGGGAGGCAGAGGCAGGAGGCCAGCCTGGTTCACAAAGTGAGTTTCAGAGCAACCGGGGCTACACAGAGAAACCCTGTTTTGAAAAACCAAATAATAATAATGCCCAAAGGGTTGCCAACAGCCTAATTTTTACGGAGGCATTTTCTTGAGGTTCCCTCCTCTCAGAGGACTTAGAATGTGTCAAGTTAACATAAAACTACCCGGCAGGGGGTCAGGTAGATCACCACATCCAAGAATCCTGCCAAGTAGGTATGTCTCCTCAGAGACAACCTTTACTCTTTTTTTTTTTTGAGACAGGGTTTCTCTGTATCGTTTTGGAGGCTATCCTGGAACTCGCTCTTGTAGATCAGGCTGTCCTCGAACTTACAGAGATCTGCCCGCCTCTGCCTCCTAGTGCTGGGATTAAAGGCGTGCACCACCAACGACCAGCTACCTTTACTCTTCTTAAAAGCATCTCACATTATCACTGAAGATTCAGGCATCACTCTGAATTACGATGTCCTTTAGTTACTGGTCCTCCTACCTCTACTCTTGGCACCCTGAGATACAGGGTCGAGCCATCTTGCTGCTTTATGCTGTTCTGGGAATTACACCCAGGGCTTCATACATACTAGATGAGCACTCTCCCATCTAGCTTCATGTTTATGTAGGTATGATTTCAGGAGCTATGTACAAAGTAACTGTCAGGTTCCTACAAGAGGGAACTCAGGCTTTTGGTCTCTTATTGGTCCCAGTCAAGTATTTATTATAAGTTGTGTTCTTTTCAATGCATGGTTCAAAACCTTATTTCGTTGGCTATCTGAGAACCTAACTGTTAGGCTCTAGGAATACAGTAGTCCACACCTGTACTCCCAGCACTGAGTAGATGGAGGAGGATCACAGCTCAGTCTACACAGTGAATTCCAGTTTCAATCCGGCCAAGGTTTTGCAGAGATTCTGTCTCAAACTAACCAAATAGCTTAGGAGCTGGAGGAACTTATGGTCTAATGAGGGGTGGTTGAGAACCTAACAAATGTCAGGATAGCACTGACAATTACCATCACAGGTAGGGAAGACAGCTCAGTTGGTGAATTGTAAGCATGAGGCCCTGAGTTCACCCTTAGGGGTGGGGGTTTAAGGAGGCAAAGACAGACAGATCCCTGGTGCTCACTAGCCAGTCAGCCTAGCACAGTCAGTGAGCTCCAGGACCGCAAAAAGTGAGTTGGATGGCCCCTCCAAATGTGTGATGTCACGGGCACACAGACACACACACGTTTAGGATGAGGGGGACAGTAAGGGAAGGATTCCCAAAGAACCAAAAGCTAAGACTGGGGAGGGCAAGGATTTAACAGGGTTGGTTTCTGTGGGACTTCTTGATCTCTGAGAGCTGAGCATGGTTGAGGCGTCTCTCTTCTCCCCACTAGTCCATCACCAAAGGTGCAGCATGGTTAAACAAGACTTGAATGGCAGGTCTTTGGAATGTGTCTTGACATACATCCCTACTTTGCCTCTGGTGTCATCGTAGGCAGCACCCAAGGTGACATTTCAAGAGCTGCTCTAGGCATTCCAAATACATCACAATTACCTTCAGCAGTAGTGAGGAGCAACAACATATACATTAGTATGTCAGTCAATTGTGTCTAAACTTCTAGATAGCAACACGGACTTGTGTTACTGAGGTCTAACTTTGTCACACCTCGTTTTCTCTTTGTTGAGATAGTTGTACCCTGTAGCCCAGGCTGGCCTTGAAACCTTGTCGATCCTGTCTCTGCCTTCTGAGTACTAGTACTGGTGTTCACTACTATGGCCGACTGCACTCAGAGTTTTAAGGGCCAGGGATGTAGACCAGTGGTAGAACTACTGTGTGCAAGGCCCTGGGTTCAATCCTTAGCACCAGTAAGAAATTTAAACTTAAGTGTCTTCTTTCACCAAATTGACAAGAGTTGAGAACAGAGCCAAAGCCTGACCACATGTTGTCTACTTGAATTTATTCTTACTTTCTTTAAAAAAAAGAAGAGGAGGTTAGGGTGGCCAGGGAAGTAACTCATAAACACTGAACAGGAACAAAGACTCTAAGACTTGGGGTACTCTTGTACCCTCAACTTCAGATCTCTAACAGCCTCCCACCCCCCGGTTTTCTTTTCAACAAGACACCCAGATCGGCAGCAGAGGTACCTAGGGTCGTCACTGAGAATCTGAACACTGGGAATGGGAGGGGAAGTCCAAAAGTAGGAGCTGAGAAGGGGAAGGAATGAAGGAGAGCCTAGGGCTCTGGAGGACGGAGTTGGGCCACAGGGGGAAGTGAGCCAGTAAGGGGGTGCCCCTCCTGACTGCTGCCGCCCACACTCCCTGGACCCCAGAGCACCCCATGGTTTGTTCTGCAGTCCACTCCCGTGCTCCTGAAGCCTCACAGGCCCAGCTCCAAGTCCTCCAGCTCCTCTTCCAGAGCCTTCCGCCGGGCCAGCTTCTCCAGCTGCTCCCTGCTGGGCTGGCTGACCTCGCCAGCCTGGATGCGCTGCTGCAGCTCCTCCACCTGCCGCAGCTTCTTCCTCAGGCTCTTGATCTTCTTGGCTTTCTCTGTGGTGGCAGCAGAGTCGGATGCATCAGGGGCAGCTAGAGGGGCGGCCTGGGAGCTTTGGAGGGCGCTGGGCGTTTGGGCGGTATCTGCCAGAGACACCTTATCAAGAGTCCTGCTCAAGGCCTCTGCCTCCTTCTCCTGCTGCTGCCGCCTCTTCTCCTTCCGCTTCAGGTTGCGTTTGGCTGTCTTGGAGAGGCCTGCTTCACCACCTTCCGGTCTGGATGGGGTGGCGGGTGTAGTGGCCTCAGGGCTCAGCCCTGGAGGAAGTTCAGGTTTACTCTTGAAAAACTTCACATACTTGTTTTCATAGCTGCAGGAAACAGAGGCTAGAGCTTCAAGGGTGCCGCCTCCCCCCCCACCTCACCTCACCTCCTTTCCATTGCCCTCCCATTTCCTCTGCCCTGCAGGGTCCTGGCCTTCAGCAAAGCTCTACAACTCAAAGCTCTGGGGTTGGATTGCGTCTAGAGGATCTCAAGAGGACAAGACTAGACGGGGGAGCCCTCACTCACCCCTCAATCCCAGCTCCTTCCTCTCCTTCCATTTCCTTGGGGCCCAGGCGAGTCATCCCTCAACTCGAAGGCACAATGCGCTATACTCGTGTAGGGACCCCACTAAATAACCCTTGTTACGCCTGACCACGCACACTGGGACCTCCTCTTGGGGCACGTATCCTTCTTTGACCCTCCGTTGCTTGCGCCAGGTCCCGTCAGGTCTCTGTGTTGAGGCAATGTACTTGCCTGAAATGAGAGAAATTAAGTTGAAGTTAGTCTCTCTCATTGTGAAATATTTTCCAAGATGAGAGAAGTGTTTATAAATGTGCAGCGCACCCCCAGCCCCCATCCATCCACCTAAGGCAAGATACAGGCTCACTATGTACATCAAGTGGGTCTTGAATTCAACCACCTCCACCATCCCAGTGCCAAGGTTACAGATGTGTAACAACACTCTTAAGGCACCGTTTCTCACATCTACTTTCCATCCTGCCACTGGCTGACTAACACACTATCCTTGACCTCAAGGAGCTGCTGCCTCTCTCTTAACTAACACACGACAGACAGACCAGGCAGGGTTGGCATTCTTCAGAAGTACAAGGCCCAGGAAACATCGAAAGCAGCAAACAAACCAGATCACAAAGGGGCCAGAGCAAGAAGAACGTGGAGGAAAGAGCAGGGAAGAATGACAAATTTCATTTGGATAGACTTTGAAAAACCAAAACTTTTAGGAAACCAGATTATAAAGGCATCACAACACGTGGATACAAAGGGCACTGTTTATTTTTATGTGTATGTGTCTCTGTGGGTGTGTGCATGTTTCTGTAGAGACCAAAAGAGGGCGCTAGGTTATCTGGAGCTAGAGTTACAGGTGGCTGTGAGCTGCCTGGTGTAGAACTCAGATTCTTTGGGATAGCAGCAAATGTTCTTAACCACTGAACCACCTCTCCAGCCTCCATGTTTCAGTTAGCCAAAAGCTGGAAGCAATCTAAAGGGCCAACCACATATGGCCTTGGTTCTTATATACAATGGGACAGCATGCTGTTGGTAAAAAGAAAAAAGTTAGATATGAATTAATATTGGTAAATATTCCATAGTGGTACTGAAAGTATTCATAATTTACCAAGTGGAAATGTTTTCCATTAAATTCTGTACCTGCTCCTTAAGCACCTGCTGTCTTAATCATCTGGATCACTAACCCTCTATAGAACTCAGGATTCAAAGTCTGCCCGCTCAGAGGCTGAACAGCAAGTAGCTAACCTCCTCTCCTAGCTCACATCTCCCCCAAAACAAGTTTCCTTTTGCTCTGCCCCCACTTAAGAACCCTTAGCTACACATGGTTCCTCCCTACCACTTCCTGTCACCTAGTTGCTGACTCGACCTGCTGATTCCAGGGTTAATTTTATTTAATAAAACAAATATAACATGTCTTTGCATCATTAAATATTCCACAGCATAAACAATTTAACACATCTTCAAATAATATTCTACAACATGGAAGTTGTGGTTCACACTGTAACTCAAGCATACATTAGGTTCAAGTAGGAAAAAGTTCCAGGTCAGCCCCATCAAAACACCAAGTTTGAGAACAGCCCAGATGGAAGGCTTATCTCAAAAACAAAGCCAAGTGTAGGCTGTGTGGAAGTTCTCAAAGTTAGCCTAAAGACCCATTTATACTTATTTTGTTATAGTATGCATTTCTTTATGCAACAGTAAGAAATATTCATCTTTTTTTTTCTTTTGGTTTTTCAAGACAGGGTTTCCCTCTGTAGTCCTGGGTGTCCCCGAACTCAGTGATTCACCTGCCTCTGCCTACTGAGTGATGAGTGATGGCAACGGCCATCGCTGCCTGGCTCTTCCAAAACTTATTTATATATTTTTTGTAATTGTGTGTGTGGGGCACATGAATACAGGTGCCTGTGGAGGCCAAAAGTTGTCAAGATCCCTTGGAGCTCCTGAAGATACAGGCAGTTAGTTAGCAGTGAGCCACTGGATGTGGTACTAGGAACCAGCCAGGTCCTCTAAAAGAGAAATACCCGTTCCGTTGAGCCAAGCCATATCCCCAGCTCCTAGAAAAGTCTCAGTCAGATACTAGGAAGTTGTCTGTCAGCTCACTGTAGAAGACAAAAGCTTTTCAAATGGTCTAATCTTTACTTGAATGCTTGGTTTGATTTGTTTGTTTGTTTTTAAGAGACGGGGTTTCTTTCCCTGTAGCTCTGGAGCCTGGAGACCAGGCTGGCCTCGAACTCACAAGAGATCCACCTGCCTCTGTCCTGACCACTGGGATTAAAGGCATGAGCCATCACCACCAGTAGCTGGCAGACCAACAGGTTTATTACTTCTTTCCTTTTCAGGAAAATGACTGGCAGATCTCTTGACTTCCTTAACCTTCCAGAGATCTTTTCCAGGAATAGAGTGGCCCATGAATAGAAAGCCTGTTTAGCTTGCAACTCAACAGCGATTATTCCTTGAGGCAGTCACCTGCTTTATTCAGTGTGGCAGAGGTGTGTCACTCCTGCTTCCCCTTCAGTCTCAGGAAAAGTTATGTATGAAGACCAGGGCTTAATAAAGCATGTCAGTTTCATCATGCAACATACCGCCAGGCCCTCTTAGGTGAGATGTGTGTACCAATGAAGGTGCTCTGGTGCTGCAGCGTGGCCAAGGCCTAGCGGCGGTACCCACGTCTCTTACACCACCAGCACACCATCACCCCAGTGAAAAAGGCAGAGTTAAAAACCCAGTATCACAAAAGGGGGGCTTGGGCATTCCCCCAAGAGTCTTAGATACGTAAGAACCACTGGGGTATTGTTTGGTTCCATTTTTGCTGAGACAAAGGGAGGATTTAATAGTCCACACAGCCTGTGTTTAGTGACAAAGAGAACACTGGGGAAGAACACACAGCCAGGCTGTGATGATTGCCACCTTAAGAGGGATAACTGGTAGGAGAGCTGGAAAATATCATTAATTTCTTTTCTTTCTTTCAAGACAGGGCTTCTCTGTGCACCGCTGTCTATCCTGAGACCTGCTCTGTAGAGCAGACTGGCCTCAAACTTGGAGAGCCACTTGCCTCTGCCTCCAAGTGCTGCATGAAAGGGTATGCCACCGTGCCTGGCAAGGAGCCACCAAGTCCTTTAATGAGAAGACCGGAGGAGACGGCTCATTGCTCAGAGCTCTTGTTTAGCATCTCAATATCACATAAACCAGGCATGGTTGTAACCCCAAGACTTTTATTTTTATTTGTGTGTGCGGATGCCACGTGTGTGCTAGAGTTATAGCTGTCAGAAGCCCCGCTCTGACTCCTCTCTCCAGCCCCCTGCAATCCCAGGACTTAAACAATAATCTGGTGAGAGTGTAATATGTTTTAGTAAAAAATGATTACTGTGGGGTGTGTCTGCGCACACAGACATACACAGTGCCCAGCCAGAGAGCAAGAGGACAACATTCAGGAGTCCGTTCTCTTTCCACCTTTACATTCCAGGGGTTAAACTGAGCTGCTCGGTTTGCACAAGCGCTTTACCTACTGAGTCATTTCATGGGCCTCAGAATTATTCCTATTTAAAAAATTCAAGTATTCTCTAAAACTATATAGATATAAATAGATGGGTTTATAGATACATATTTGAGACCGGGTTTTACATACCCCAGGCTAGCCTCAAACTTGTACTACTAACCTAGTCTAATGCAGGGCTGGTGTGTGTGGTACTGGGGTCTTCTGCATGTTACAAATGAGCTACCTCTGAGTCCCATAAAAAGCTTTTTTTTGGGGGGGGGTGTTTCAAGACAGTTTCTCTGTATTGTTTTGGAGGCTGTCCTGGAACTCGATCTTGTAGATCAGGCTGTCCTCGAACTCACAGAGATCCGCCTGCCTCTGCCTCCTAGTGCTGGGATTAAAGGCGTGCACCACCACTGCCCAGCCCTAAAAAGCTTTAAGGCTCAGTGGGTGAAGGCACCGGGGAACCTAAGTCTGATCCCCAGGACCAACACGGTGAAAGGAGAGAACCAGCTCTGGCTTCCACACTTATACCATGGCACATGTGCATATGCAAACACTAAACAATGTACTCAAAATAGTTAAAAACGTGTATTTTTAGAAGGCTCAGCAATTAAAAACACTTGCTGCTCTTTGAGGGCCCAGGTTCAAGTCCTAGCACCCATGTAGAAGCTCATATTCATCTGTACCTCCAGCTCCATCCAGGACCAATGCCTGTGTCTACAACAACATCTGCAGGCAAACACATCACACACACGCACACACACACTATACACACATAACTAAAAATAACCTTTAAAAAGGTTTACACATCTTTAATCCCAGACTCTGGAGGTAGAGGCAGATCTTTCTGAGTTCGAGGTCAGCCTGTCTACACAGTGAGTTCCAGGACAGCCAGAGCTACATAGTGAGACTCTGCCTGGATAAGCAAAAGCATAAAAACAAAAATGAAATTTAAGAGTCAAATCTGGGGACTCCCACATAGGTTCCGTGCTCATGCTCTTTTGTAAGCTGTGGGTTGGTTTTGTTCTAAATGAGTAGAGCGGGCAGAAGAGACGGCTTAGTGGGTAAAGAAGCCCAACAACCCACGAGGAGTGACCGCCACAAGGAGGCCTCTCACCTTGTGTGTCACGGCACAAATGCACACACTCCAGGTGGTGGCGCACGCCTTTAATCCCAGCACTGGGGAGGCAGAGGCAGGCGGATCTCTGTGAGTTCCAGGCCAGCCTGGTCTACAAAGTGAGTTCCAGGACAGCCTCCAACGCCATAGAGAAACCCTGTCTCAAAAAACCAAAAAAAAAAAAAAAAAAAAAAAAAGATTGTAGATGGGAGAGGGAGGCTGGAGAGATGGTTCAGAGGTTAAGGGCATTGGTTCTTGTGGAGAACTCAGGTTTGAGTCCCAGCACCCACATGGAGGCTCACAACCATCTCTAACTCCGGTTCCGGGAGATCTCTTCTGACCTGCACAGGCACCAGGCACATCCACAGCACACAGACATACGTGCAAACAAAGCATTCACAAGCGTAAAATAAATCGAAGGATGGGGTATAGATGGCAACCTCAGTCTGGCTAGGCTGTGAGAGGGCGCACAGACAGAGAGCTAATCCAGGACCTTACTATCTGGCACATGACATGCATCAAATATCTGTGAAATGATTGTTTCATTTAGTAAAAACTTGTTTTAGGGTCTTGGGTAAATGAATCGATCCTTCACTTCAATCTGGCAAGAGAAGATAACTCAAAAACACAAAAAAA